ATGGGCTGCTGGATTTCATTTTTTTCCAACGAGCAAAACTATGTGCTTAATTGCTTTTGAATAAATGAAGATCTTTTGGGGGTTCTGTGCCTCGTCAGAAATTTTTATTCAGGTCCTGCTGCAGAAGAGCTGTGCCACAGAAGGGCCCACAGAGGCTGAGGGACAGAAAATGAGCCATCATATTACAAATTGCAGCTGCATTGTCAGGCCTGAACAGTAAGCTGTTACAGAGCCATTCAGACCACACCTGCACCCCACAGCACATTGTTTCTCTTGCCTACAATTATCCACATCCTGGAGTGGTTAGACTGCTACATGAACCATTAAAAGTTGTTTTTTGTTTTGTTTTTTTTTTTTTTAAACATGGGTGGCTGTAGTGGGTACTTTTCAAGCAGAAGCTCAAGAGTGCAAAAGGTAGAAGCCCTGAGGGATAAGGAGGTTGGTAGCACCTCCATATAATAGCATGGACAGCAAGGCTAGTTACATAGCATAGAAGAATTTATAGTAATAAAGTGAGAGTCTTTGCATACCTGTTTGGAGACTGGACTCAAACCCGTTTACTCCCAGTTTGAGGGATGCCATCTGATTAGGATCATTTCTGCTGTCAGTATATCAGCTTGGTGACAAAGACATTAAGACACTTTATGCCAGTGACCAACTTTCCCAGTGGGAGCTGCTGTGGATGTGAACGCAGTAAGCTGTGGATATGTGGAATAAAATGACATCTGCCTGAGAGTAGAGGTTGGAGCTCATAGTTTAGATCCCAGTAGAACCCATAACCAGAAACAGGAGTTCAAAGGGGCCCTAATTAATGACCTTGTGAAGCCACAACTCAGTAGTGAACAACAGGAACCAAACTTTCTTTTATCTGCTCCTCTTGGAGCATGGGATAAGAATGCAAATTACTGCATGTTTGACAATGTCTGTGAAGTGGTGTTGAGCCAGGAGCCTCCGTGACTGCTGCTGTGCTTTAATGAGCTCTCTGCTGCCACAGGCTCAGAGCGTTACAGCCTGTGACACAGGTAGAATTGCCAGCTAGCACGAGAAGAGCCAGATGAGCAGCGGTGTCACTACCTGCTTCTCTTCTCTGTCCCATAGCTGCATCCTATGACAAGCGAATTGCACTCTGGGATATTGGGATTCCAGACTGTGACTACAATTTCAAAGCAAGGTAAAGATTCAAATACCAGATGTGGCCAGTCCAGGAGCCTATAACTATCGTGTCACAGCAACACTTAACTGCTTGTTCTGTTTTTCTTCTTTTAGCCAGCTGCTGGTGCTGGAAGCGCTCTCTATTCCCTTACGGATTGCCCTGGTCCCCACCTGCCCAGATCAGTACCTGCTCGCTGGCTGTGAAGGCGGCTGCTTTGCGTGGAATATAAAACTGGATAAGGAACAAAAAAGCAGGCAAGAACCAAAAGCTGGGCACATGCATTTGTTTTCTATAACAAGAAGAGGTAGTCCTAGCAAAGGCTTTATTGCCAACCGAGGAGGTCTGAGCAAGAAAAGCAGCATGTCCTACCAAACTTAAAACATAGTCCCCCTCCCGTAGCAGCAAGAAAAAATTTGAGAGTAGTGCCAAAGGAGTGATCAAAGCTAGCAGCCCTGAGCTTGTATTGATGCTCCACTCTACAAGCACTGCAGGCTGCTTTGAAGCTGACGTGTGTAATACAATACCCTAAAACTTAAGGGCGTATCATCTTGAAATAGTGTAATGGAGTATAAATTCTTGGATCGAGTTTGAGTTTCACAGAAAGGCCTACCCTGCTTCTAGTACGTGAGGTTACCCGGGAAACTGGCACGCTATGGGAGCACAGAAAAAAATTAGAAGAAAGAAGCAAGTGAAGTCATGCCCTGCTGACATATACTAATCCTACTGGATATCCTACTTATCCTACCAGGGTGCTGCTACAAAAACAGATGAAGTAAAACAGCAGTCACTTAAACAAATGGGCTTCTGCCGTATTAATAAGCTCAGGTGGCCGAAAGCCTAAGTTCCAGTGGGAATTCACCCAAGTTTGGCAAGAGATGCCCTAACACATGCATTTCCTTCTGAGTTCTGTACCCGCCTGCCCTTCCACTGCTGCCTGTTCAGGACTTGACTCATTTTACCCTTCCCCTTCCTCTAGGCCTTTTGAAGTCCTATTCCAGTTTCCTGATGAAGATGGAGGCATGTCAACATCTCACAGAGTTGATGGTGTGGCTTTTCTGAATGATGATATTGTTGGTGAGTATAAGCACAATAGCTCAATCCAGGAAAACAGCATGTGGCAGCCTGAAGCCAGCACAATGAGCAGAGGGACTGAATAGGGTGCGACTCCCTCTTTAGATTTTTTTGGGGGCTAAACAGAATGGAGTGGTCTCCCAGAGTCATTATCTTTCCCTAAACTGTGGGCAAACCCATGTCTGAGCAGGGCTGGAATTTGAGTGTACCCATCAAGAGCACACCTGGCTGAGCGGTGCTGAAGGGCGAGGGAGGAGAGTTTCTGTCTGCTCACAGGCTGGTGAAAGTAGAACTTTTTTGCAGGGGGATTGGGGATTCCCACAGGTGGGAGAGTGCTTAAAGCATGGGCTGGGTTGTTCTGAATAGCTTATGCTTGTTCTGCAGTTCAGGAACATACACAAGGGACTGAAAATCCCTCTGCAGCTTCCAGTTATCCTGAAATACAGTAAAGGAGACAGAGAGTTGCTGCTGGTATCAGGTCCCACATCTTAAAAGCCACCTGAGTGGACCACCTGCACCAGTGGCCAGGCACTTGTCAGCAACTAACAGCCTCTCCCATCTTTCTTCCCCAGTTTCCAAGAGCTCCAAGCTGGGCTGCATATACTTATGGAGCTGGAGTCGGTCTTTTGACACAAAGGGGAAGGGATGCCAGCGAACGGTCGCCGCGTTTATTTTAGCTGAGCTGGAGTGGTCCACGACAGACCTGTCCTACTTGACGCTCAGCACCTGCCCAGGTAGGCAGCACCAGGGCCTGCAGCAGACACGGCTGCACGGGGCGAGATTTACTGTGAACAGTTGTGGGTGCCTCCCCTCCCACCCCTCGGGGGAGCCTGGATTTCAGTCCCCTTCAGAGAACACATGTCTGGCCTCCCCCTCTGCAAGCAGCAGTCCAGCACCAGCTGTATGTAAATAATTACAGCTATACTGTCTCCCATACAATGAGGGAACAGCTCAGGCTTACAGTTACGTTGACTTGTACAGGTCTTCAAAGCACACAGAGCTGGTGGCTTGGCCCTGCAGCTTTTCTGGAACCCTTTTAATGCTCAGTGCACCTGAAGCAAGGAGCAGGAATTCCACACAGGTGGCAGCTGGTTTTAAGACTGACGGGAAATGAACCTGATGTGTCTGCCACTTCCCAAATCCAAAAAGTCAGAAGAAATACCAAAACATTTATCACTAGCTTTTCTGTACCAGAATGAGACAGCTGATTTATCTTTAAATAAATTTACTTTTTTCAGAGCAAGGTAGATGAATATATTTGTGCTGGAAAGGGAATTTTGCTGAAATATGATGTCCTCCCCTGGGATCCTGCAGCATTGTCTTGAGCTCTGGTCTAGAGAGGAAGAGACTCAGATCCACACTTTTTTGTTTTCCACCTCCTTTTGCTCTTACAGCAAAAGACTATGTGTTCTGTGGCGATGAGAAGGGAAGCGTGTGGATGTACAACCTCTCCAAATACATCACAGCATGGAGCTCTGCAAAGGGAAAACGCTCAGACAAGAGGATCCCTCCCTCACAGGTGGGTCTGTCTCCTTCACCCTCTGGGGTGGAGATGGGCCGCCCTCCTGCCCCGGTGCAAGCTGTCCCGAGGCTCCTGCACAGATTTACACCAGAACATGCCTTGTGTTTTCTACACCTAACACTCCCAGGCAGTTAAAAGCAATCCTCTCGCCAGAGCATGACCAAGGCTCACACAAACACAACTCTGACAGGAATTAGGAGCTGTAAAGCAAGTCTGTTTGCTCCTGCATTCTGCAGCCTGGCAGAACTGCACGCAGGAAAGGGCTCACTGCCCCCCTTTTCCTGCTGCGTATTTCTCTGGCCTCTGGAGCCCGTCCTCTTTTGGGCAATTGCTGTTCCCTTGCATGATGAAGGCACACACACTCAAAGGCTCTCACTCCAGAGTGTGTTCTTGAGCTATCATTGTATGTAGGTATGACGTGATCCAGTGCCCCCTAAACTTTTTAAAAGCATATTGCCCAAGTCAGCAGTCAGCCCCAGCTGCCTTCACACCTTCCTTTCTGATCACGTCCCCCTGTGTTGAACCCTGCTCCTTTGGGAGGGGGGCCACAGAGCTGCACCAGCTCCCTCGGAGAGCAGGACAGTTCTGTTCAGCTTCCCCAGGTTGGTAGGGAAGTGGATTCCACAGAAATCCAGTCATCAAACCAGGCCTTGCAGTAATTAATAACCTTCCACTTTCAGAGACAATACCACCCTTCCTTTCCTACCCAAACTCTGTTTCCTCCTAGATTCTCCAGTGGCCAGAGCTTCGCACCAACAGTGAGCAGCTGACTGAAGTCCTAATAAACAATGTGGTGTCAGACCCTACTTTTACTTACCTTGTTGTTCTAACTAGTGTGAACATAACAGCAATTTGGAAGAAGTCATAGTCCCTCATAACAGATTTTCATTCCCGTGCTTTGAGATAGTGCAGTATTAGTGACCATTACCCATGTAATCATGAAGTTTTCTAGATCAGCTATTACATGCAAGAAAAAAAAAAAAAAAAGGAAAAGGTAAGAGTTTGTAAAACTCATCAAGTCAGTGTAAACATCCGGTTTCTTTTACTGTAAGTTTCCACAATTTGTGCATTTGTTTTAAAGAAATGACACTTAATAAAACAAAATACCAGCTCAGTTGGCAGTGCCTAGACTTTTTTTAAAAGGAGAAGCAGAGAGTTCATCTACTGCTATGACACAGCAGCTTCTCATTCTGGAATCACACCCACAATAAACTTGCCAGCAGCCCAGTACAAATATTTGCCTTAAGGCGCCAGTTAGAAGAGCAGAGATCACTTTAATGACTTATCCACCAAATCAAGACATTTACCCTCTTGGCAAAGTGCCTGTCTAGTATTAAAAAAAAAAAAACAAACCACCTCAACATATCACTGCTGCTTTCAGAAATGACACAAACAGAAGTGGGACAAGGGGGAAAATATTTGCCATGACGGGGGGTTTAAATAAAACATCCAACTAACAGATCCATCATTATATCATTCTGCCTCAGAAGTACAGTCCACTTGATTTTACTCCACTCCTTCTTGTTTATCTTTAATAGCAACCTGCAAAACACAAACAAAAACACATACACTAAGACAAGAACTGTTACTGAGCTGGAGGAGGATAGTTTAAACATTCGTAACAATCTGCTGCGAAACACAAGAACCACCACAATCAGTGGAAATCTCCACCATCCAGAAGAATAATACTTAAAACATATTTACAAAATTGCCATGCTGTTATGTTTCACCAGCACATCAGCGAACATTACACAGACAGTAATGTTCATGGTCCCCCTGGTTTTGTCTAAATAACCTTTAGGACAGATTAAGTCTCAAAAATCGGGGGCTAAATAAATACACAGTTGAGCAGAAGCAATGAGAAGTGGCCAGAAATACTGTCCGCATTTTGGCAGAAGTATTAAAAAAAAAAAAAAAAAAAACAGAATAACGTAAAGCAGCTCTAAGATGCACTACCCCTCTCTTTGTTTCACTTTGAGCTGCAAGAAGCTCAAATACTTGAAAGAAAAAAAGAAACGAACTTACCCTGAACCTCTCCTCGAGGAGGGAGAGCTCACTGATCAGATCCGTGATGGCGTTGGTGAAAGCTTCCTGAGGGCTGTAATCGGGGGTGGTTTGGACGCGGATGATAATTTTGTGTTCCAGCGGGTGTGGGACCTTGTACCCTGCAAATAACACCTGGGGGTCCTTCAGTAACTGCCTGGAACGGAAAAGCGGCCGTGAACAACCCCGCAGAACAAACACAAATGCTTCTGAATTAAAAAAAAAAAAACATTAAAAAGTCGTGTTCAACGCGCTTTCAAACAGGGCACCCTCGGTGTGTCTGGGGAGGCGATGCCCTCTCCCTCCTAACGGCAGGCTTGCTTCGCCCGGACCTGACATCTACCACAACACGACAGAATGTTTATGAGGGGGGAGAAAAAATTAAAAAAAAAAAAAGCCCCAACCTCTTCCCTCGCCCCAAATTTCCCCACCCCCCCCGCCTTCTCAGCTCACGACTTGATGATGTTCCCCAGCGTGTGGTCCTCCTTGTTGATGGTGAAGAGGCAGGCGTTGGGCACCTTCGTGTCCTTGTTGATGGCCACCCTGCGCGGACACAGGCAGGCGGTTACCGCCGCCCCCGGGCCCCCCCTGCCCCCCAAAAGCCGCCCCCCCCCCCCCCCCCCCACTCACTTCTTTTCGCCCTCGAAGAGGAGGAACGACTCGAAGGCCGGAGGCGCGTTCATCCCGCTGCTCGCGCCGCCGCCGCGTCACTTCCGCCCGCTCCCGGCGGCCACAGCGCCCCCAGGCGGGCGGGAGGGCTCGGCGCAGGCGCCCCGTCACGTCCCGCCCCCCCCCATGACGTCACCGTCGGTGACCATAGGAAGTGGTGATGTCAGCGGTGATGCCACGAGGAGCAGCACCAGCGGTGGTGGCCCCCACCCCCATCCGCGCCACCCGCAGGGCCACCACTGATGTCACCAGTGCCACCGTCAGCAGTGATGTCACCAGCGCCACCAGCAGCAGTGATGCCACCAGCAGCAGCAGTGATGACACCAGTGCCACCGTCAGCAGTGATGTCACCAGTGCCACCAGCAGCAGTGATGTCACCAGCGCCACCAGCAGCAGCAGTGATGTCACCAGTGCCACCAGCAGCAGCAGTGATGACACCAGTGCCACCGTCAGCAGTGATGTCACCAGCGCCACCAGCAGCAGCAGTGATGTCACCAGTGCCACCAGCAGCAGCAGTGATGACACCAGTGCCACCGTCAGCAGTGATGTCACCAGTGCCACCAGCAGCAGCAGTGATGTCACCAGTGCCACCATCGGTGGGTTCAGCGGCAAAACCATCGGTGGTCCCGCCCTCAGCGCCCCTACTGGCACCGGCGGGGCCACCAGTGATGTCACCAGTGACGCCACGAGGAGCACCGCCACCACCAGTGACACCATCAGCAGAAGCACCAAGGGTGCCGCCGCCGGAAAGGGCACCAGTGCCACCATCGCTGCCACCAGCAGAGCTTCCCCCAGCCCACCAGTGACGCCACCAGTGACGCCACCAGTGACGCCACCAGTGACGCCACCACCGCCACCGGCTGGGCCACCAGTGACGCCACCAGTGACGCCACCGGTGCCACCGGCAGAGCTTTAGCCAGTTCCCAACCCAGCGCTGCCTCCCCCGGCCCCCACCACGGACGGACAGGACAGGGCTGCGGGGTACAAGGCGCCTTTATTGCCACCGCCGTGCCCCCCCGAGGCGTGGGGACCCGCCAGCCCCCCTCATGGCTGCAGCTGCAGCAGGGCCGGGGGGGCCGGGGGGGCCGGGGGCTGCGCCAGGCGGTGGCAGCTCTCCAGGTCCCCCAGCACCCCAAAAAGCCGGCTCAGCCCCTCGGGCACAGGGGCACCTGTTGGAGGGGGGGGGGGAAGGGAGCAGCGGTGAGACCCCAACAACCACCATGGCCCCCCCACCCCGACCCCCCTAGAGACATGCCCCGGCCAGAGCAGCCCCACCGGGGTCCCCAAAATCCCCTCCCACCCCAAACCTACCTTCACCCCGCGGGCCATTTTGGGCGTCCAGCAGCTCCCAGTACTTTTCCCTGGGGAGAGCGGGGAGGAGTGGGGGATGTACCCTGGGAGGGGTGCAGGGGGTGGGTGTCCCCCCACCCTGGGGTGGGGGCTCACCTGAGGGTCCCTCGGAGGCCCTGGAGGTGGTGGAAGAGGCGCTGAGCCTCCGCCGCTGAATCCAGGGGGTCACTCCAGTCCTGGAGGGTGACGCCATGCCGGGTCCGGTCGCACCCCAGCCCTGAGGGACAGTGTTGCTTATGATGGCGGGTTGGGGCGGGGGGGGACAGGCGGGGTGGGGTGACACCCCCCCACACCCTGGGCACCCCTGCAGGGGTCCCGGGTGCCCACCCCGGTACCTGTCCTCTGCCTCTGGTGGCAGCAGCTCCACTTGTCCCCGCGGAAGACGCCGGGGTGGTAGGTGCGGAGCACGCGGGGGTTGTTGACGCACACCTTGCGCAGGGCTGACAGCCACTGGTTCAGCTCGTTGACGCACTGCGGGGTGTGAAAAGTTGGGGGGGGGGGGGGGAATGGGGGTGGGGGTGTCCCCGGCTGCGCCACCCCCAGTGTCCCCCGTCCCACCTTGCACTGGAGGTAGGCTGTCTCCTGCCGCCCGCCCGCGTCCAGGTAGACCACCTGCATGACGTGGGCGCTCCCGAAGCTCTTCTCCTCCACCTTCTCGGCCGCCAGAATGTCGGCCAGGGCGATGGTGCCGCTACGCTGATGGGACACACACACGCAGTGTGTGTGTGTGGGGGGGTCAGTGCCACCCCCGCTGCCCCCCCACCTCCCCCCCGGCACCCCCCCCACCTCAGCGCCGGGGCTCTTGCCAAAGCTGAGGGACTCCCCGGTGAGGCAGAAGTGGAGCTTCTTGGCGGCGGCGGCGAGCAGCGGCCCCTTGCCCCGCGTCTTGTGGACGAAGAGCGGCCCCTCCTTCACCACCGCAGCCGGGGGGCTCAGCAGCCACCCCTCGCCTTCCTCCTCCTCCTCCTCCTCCTCCTCCATCCCCACCAGCCGGGCGATGAAGTCCTTCATCTGGGCGATGCCCTGCTGCAGGGCGGGCAGCAGCGGGCCCAGCCAAGCCTCCTTGGCCCGCCCGGCCGCCGGCTCCATGTTGCCCACCATCTGCACCGCCTGCAGACCCCCGGGGAGGGGGGGACAGAGGTGTCGCTGGTGGGGGGACCCATCCCTCCCTAACAGGAAGCAACTGAGCACCCCGAAATCCCCAGCTGGGTGACACCTGCCCGGTCCCACCTTGGCCAGGAGCAGCAGCGTGCGGCTGGTGCGCGCATCGGCGTGTGTCTCCCGCAGGTGGAAGAGCTTCGGGGTCATGATGGCCGGCGAGAAGAAGCGGAGGCAGAGGAAGCTGGTGACGGCCACAAATTTGGTGTGCTGCGGCCGACCAAGGCGGGGGGGGGAGACGTGTGAGGGTCTGTCCCACTGCAGAACATCCCCAGGCGCCGCGTGCCTTGGTGAACCAGGGACGCGGGGGCTGGCTTCCAGCACAGAGGCGCTGTTTGGGCGCAGCGTGGCCCCGCTGCCCCCCATCCCTGGGGGGCTGCCCCCACACCCCAGAGAGGACCCCACTGACCAAAGCTGGGGACCGCACCCAGTGCACCCCATTCCCATTGGACCCCCGGTTCATCCCCCTGCCGCAGCCCGACCTGGTGCTGGGGGAAGCGCTCCCCGACACGCTGGAAGAGCTGCCGGAAAGCGGCGCGGATGATGGCGGGACACGCCGGGGCCGACTTGACGATGGCATCCAGCAGCTCGCCCAGGTAGGACTGGAGGTGCTGGCGGCCCTGCTCGATCACCTCGCCCTCCGTCTGCACCCGGTGCAGCCCCGAGCACCTGCGAGCACCGGCACCGTCAGCCCCACGGCCGGGCTCCCCCCCCGGGCTCCCCCCCCGCCCCACCGCCCCGCGCGCCCCTTACCCGACGTCTTTGATCTCCACCTTGCCGGGGTCCAGCTCCACGTACTTCTTCTCCTCGAACACGCGGGTGATGGTGGGTCCCAGGACGGCGTGCAGGTATGGCATCCCTGTCACCTGCCGAGGGACCACGCAGGGGACGGTGAGGGGGGACACAGCCACACGTTTGGTACCCGACACCCCCAGACTCCCTGCTAAGGGTCACACAGGGGATTTCCTCCAACCTCCCAGCCCCAGGGGAAGACACAGCCCCACCAGTACTCCCTCCGGGAACTGGCCCCTGTGGGGACAGCCCCAGAGCCAGGGTGACCCGGGAAGAGCAGGTTTTGGGTGGTGTGGCACCTTGAGGAAGGACTCCATCGACTTTGAGGCCAGGGAGTTGCTCCGGAACAGAGTGTTGGGCTCACCTGCAAAACAGGAGAGGGTCTGTGGCCTGGGGGATGGTCACAGGTCACCCACTGGGCACCTGCAATCACGGGGGGGCATTTACAGGGGCTGTGCCCTCCACCTCCAGCCATCTCCATGGGAGTTACAGGGGTTTCCTGACCCCAAACCACCTGCTCCTCCACCAACCCGTGAGGATGAACCCAAGAGGTTCCCACCCAGAGCACAGCATGATGGCTGAGCCTCAACCGTCAACCCAGAAAAAATCACCGCGCAAGGTCCCGGAGGTTTTGCAGCCCCAGCAGATGGTTGGAAGCCTCCAGCTCTGCTCCCTGCTCCAGCCTTACAGGGCTTGGCCAGCTCCAGCTCGAAGAGCAGGTCCAGGAACTCCTTGACCAGCCCTTGGCCCAGGAAGAGTTTGACCAAGTTGATGGCGACCTCCTGCCGGCACTCAGCCGTGGTGGTTTCATCTAGGAGGGTGACCAGGTGGACTTGGCCGTCCTGGTGGGGAGAGGCAACACGACGTGATGGCCTGAGGAGAGACTCGTGCCGTGGCAGCGAGCTGGAGGAAGGTGGGTGCCCCGGCAGGGCTTCGCAGCGGCCCCCTCACCTGGCGCCCCGATTTCACCTCCTGGCACAGGAGCTGGACCAGGGGCTGGTAGCAGTGGGAGGGCAGCACCGTCTCATCCCGCAGCCTCACCTGCAGCTGCAGCGAGCCCAGGCTGCCTCGGCGCCTGCAGGAGCACGGGGTGGGGGGATGGAGGGATGGAGAAGTCCTTCACCAAGCAGGAGGTGGCCCAACAGCCCGGGGAAGCCTGGGCAGGCAGGTGGGGCTGCCCTGCACTTGCCACCCCTCCCAGACAAGGGAATTTCCAGAGTTCCCCCTCCACAGGGACAATGCTTCGCAGGAATAACGCCCCCCCCCCCAACCCCCCCCCGTGCTGAGACTCACTCGTCCTCCCTCGGCTTGGACTTGTCGGGCTGCAGCCTGAACCAGCCCTCCTCCTGCCCAGCCACCTCCAGCCCCTGGATGCTGAATACCACCTGGGAGGGGAAGGCAAGAGGGGGTCAGGCAGGCAGCCGGGCGGGCCCCCCAGCACTGGTGACGGGATTTGGGGGCTCACCTTCCCCAGGAAATCATTCCTGCCGACGAGGTCCCAGTCCCACACCTCCACGCACAGCTTCTCCCCGGCGGGCTCAGCCAGCTCGAACTCAAAGGTCTCGTTCCAGCGGGGGTAGCAGGATTTCTTGACCACCTGCAAAAGCAACGACTTCGTCCCCCCCTCACTGGGTGGATCCGACACCCCCACCCCGGGACACCACGCTGGGGACGTGGGGGGGACAGGGGTGGCTCCCGGCCGAGGTCCGGGCTTCCCAGTGGGATGATTTCACCTGCAGCACCGGCAGGTCGTGGGACCACGATAAACTGAAGTCGTACTCACGGTGCTCTCCTGC